ACATCAAAAAGTAGCCTGAGGCTGAGGATTTAGCTCAGTGGTTTCACCTGCTGTGCAAGCGCAAGGACCCAAGTTCGATCCCCGGTACCAAAAAAAAAAAAAAAAAAAAAGTAGCCTCGTTTTATACCAGTTGTTCTTTTTTTTTTATCAGTTGTTCTTAAGCCTAACTTGAGCATCAGAAGTTTCACATGCACACAAACATGCACATGCGCACATACACACACAGATACACCTCTATATGACCCCTCTCCAGGGGCCAACACACCTGTACATTTACCAAGCTTCTCAGTTGTTCCTAGTGCAAAGCTGGGTTTATCACATGTATTGATCACATGTAGGCTATGAGATCAGTTTCATTCACAGCCCCCCTGATCTTTTCTGGAACATTGACCATAGTAACCATAGCCCAGACCAACCTACTGAAGCTGTTCTTCAGTAGAAATATAGTTTCTCTGCAGGTTAGTGAGAGAGACACGGAAAGCTCTCTGCTGCTCAAGCTGAATTGAAAGGTAAATCTTGAATCTTAAAGGAAGTTGCCCAACAGGCTGTGTGTCCCTAGATGTTTGGTTTACTTGGGAAATGGGTGATATCAACTGACATTTGTTTGAAATAACTGATTGCTTAGAGAGTGTAATAAGCTAGGGTTTTACTCTTATCTCTTCTGTATAATACACTATAGAACCTGTCTTACAAAGCAGTATCACAAACCAAAACAACCCAAAAACATGCCACCAGTCCAGATGCTCTGCTGGTAACACCCTCACCCCTGCACAGAAGCAACCTGGAAGAGAGTAACCAGGGTTACAGGAAAGAAAGGGGCCCACCTTCTTAGGCAGACAGAGCACAAAGAGGATCTCAGGTGCCAACCTGCACAGCTTTGTGCAGTGGCCCTGCCTTGTCATGCCACTACTAAAGTGACAAAACTGAGGCTCAAACCCAGACACATCTAACTCTGAAGCAACCTGCCCTTAAGTGCTCTTGAGACTGAAGTACTACATGGGACACAGGGACCCAGGACTGATTTTCCCTCAGTGCACAGCTCTGGCTTGTGTCTCTGACCACAGAGCACAGTGGGAGGGGCTTTCAGTTCCCACAAACACCCTTTGATGCCCCTTTCTTTTAAAGGGGTGGCTAGCAGTTCTGTTTCCACTGATTGTAAAGACTAGCTCTTTTCAGCAGGCCCTGTTCTTTTTCTTGCACAACACAGGTCTGTCGCCTAAAGATCATTGGACAAGGCCCAGTTATCCAAATGCATCCCACTCAAGTTGATTTTGGCAACATCTACGTCCTACAGGACTCTTCCAGGATTCTCAACCTGGCTAACCAGTCTTGCATTCCTGCATTTTTTCGTGCACACATGGTGAGTAAGTTATGGACCATCATCATGTGATGAAAATAAGATTTGCATAGTTAAACTATTAAACCACATCAACCTCACCCCCAGTTCCTCTTTATTATAATTTTTTGTTGATTAAGAAATAAAATATGTGTGTGGTTTGGTAAACAAACACATCTCATATAATCCCAGGGCAGGAAGATGCTTCAAGGGAGACCAACACTCTGGAAAACACTTTTTATGTCTGTCTCTAACTGGAAGCACTTCCTTTAACTTGAATCTGTTAGGCTACAAATTCATTAGTATGTTTATTCTATTTTTATTCTCATTTCCTTCTGAGAGTATTTTAAGGTAAATAAGATAGTATTTGCTAAATTTGGAAATTAAAACAGCAAGGCAAAGATAAACAAGGATAGATACAGTGTTTTAATGAGCCATTTAATGTCTGTGTGTTTCATAAAGACATTTAGACCTGCTGGTCTCCTATAAGCTAATTTTTATTTTATTTTTAAATTTTATTTATTTATTTTTGCAGAAGAACAGAGATAGTAGAATGGGGTGGGTGTTTTTTCTTGTAGAATTTAGGAATTTCTAACCTAGTAATTGGAAGTATCGTTAGTCTTAGAAATAGTTCTTTAAATTTAAATATAAATTGTTTGACTCCCATAGTCCTCCTATTCTCAAATTATTGGCATTTGAATTCATGAGAGCTAACATTTAGTTTTAGCATTTTTCAAATATGTCTGAAGCCTCTACTATTGCTAATTTCGTAAAAGTTAGTGTCAGAAGGAATAGAATTATCATTTTATGCTGACTTGTGACAGCACAGGAGGCACTGATCCCAATTAGCAACTATTTATTGTTATCATCAGTTATTTTATTATCATTTCTCCTTATTGCTTATACAGGAAGCTATTCCTGCATACAATCACTGCTCTTCTCAACAGGAATCTCTGGTACAACCCTTGTATTGCTCTATCCAGCATGTTGTGGATCTTGTGTAAAGAATATCGCTTAATAATGCTTAGAGAAAAGTCTCATAGAGAAGACACTTCCACTAGTCTTCACCCAGTTAGTCAACAGATGCACGTGGTAGAAATCATGAGGTGTTGCTTTGGATCTGTTGCTTCCTGGCCTGGTGCAGAGTTGACAGCAGAAGCGGAAAAGGGTTAGTGCCCTTCCAGACCCATTAGGTGAGCACCACAGACTATGCAGATGGGTACCCCAAGACAGCTTCTGTACACACACAGCACTCCTTCCCTGTCATTGTCAAGTATCTCCAGATCTCACTTTTTATTAGAAACTTTTGGTGCATTTCAAAAAGCATATCAAAGATCTCTCTCTCTCTCTCTCTCTCTCTCTCTCTCTCTCTCTCTCTCTCTCTCTGTCTCTCTCTCTCTCTCTCTCTCTCTCTGCCAATAATGTATATATTGAATGACCCAGTTGGGTTGTTAAAATGGGACCTTTTCTTTTCCACAAAGATTTCATGATTCCATCTTTCAGTTCCTTAATGTTTCCTTAAATCAGCAAGCTCCAGTTCCAAAGAGCCAAATGCGATATAAATGATCTACTGTAGGATGTGTTTTTCCCTCCATCTGCTCTTGGAAAACAAGTTCTAGCATAAAAAGTAGTTTCAACTGTAGTTCTTGTAGGTGAAAATTAAACTCCTTTCATATTTCAGCTGGGATTTTTGTTATATTTCCTAGCAAATATGTATTAACATTATAGAAATTGAACTGTGCTAACTTAGAAGCAAACTAGAGTGGAAAGAAACTGAAATGTCATTTATAAAATTTCAACTCGATGTGCAGTATTACACCCTCATATTAATTCTTATAGAAGTTATCAAACGTTAGGAAAGCATTTCAAGTGGTAGCTGCTTGTTCCCTAACTAAGCCTACTGTGACTTCAGGTGCTACATCTTCTTTTCTTTTCTTGCTGGCTGCCCTGACAGGAGGGGTCAGTCATTCTCCGTCCTCTTTGGCTGTCAGTGAATGTCACTGATGTGGATGTGGCCCCCACTGTCAACCCGTCTGGTGCACTCGGCCCCACGCATGGCCACACATCATGGCCACCGCTGTGATTAAATTCTCCCTTAGCAAGGAACATCTGTTTGATACCAGCTGGGCAGTCAGGAGATGGGAAGCTGGAAACCTTCACAGTGACGTTGGGAGGCTCTGAAACAGCCATTTTGAATTTCTCAGAAATAAATGTTATACCCTCTAAAAAATTTTTTAAACTGAAACCTTTTCTTATAGTGTAAGTTAAGAAACAATGAAGAATATGTAGGAGATAGATGGTTAGATTTCATTAAAGCTTAGCTTATTCTGAGTGTGAAAGAAAACAATGATTAGCACAAGGAAGAACATCGTGGAACAGCAGGTTCTCCCTTGCTTTGGAGCATCTGGAATACCAGCCTGCCTTAAAGGTTCCCAGGGAGCTGACTTATGTGGAGCAACCAAGTAAGTCCCCTCTGGTTTGGAGGAGTAAAAACTATCTGAACCTGAGAACACAGCATGCAAAGCCTCTTTGGGTAGAGAGTGTGGGCTTTGCTTGTAAGAAGGCTCCATCAGGAAGAGGGATTTAATTTCCCTGGATCTGGTGAGCTGCAGAAATGAGAGTGAGGACATAGCAGCATCATGGGGCCTTGAGGACCTCAGTGCTGGGCTGGAGGACAGATGCCGTCTCTTCATGGGACTCCTTGGCTGGGCTGAGCAAGTGAACTTGTTTGAAGCCATCTGGAATCTTTTTACTTTTACCCTTGGCTCTAGATCAGCCTTGGCCACAGTTAGCTTGAAGCCCTGTGTTCAGATGCCAGTGACACCTTGGGAATCAACTGGCACGGAGACATCTTTGCAGTGGCAGGGAGAGGCCACTCTATTTGATATTAGAATTCCTGGACCATGGACACAGGAATTCTTTTTTTTTTTAATTCTTTTATTGGTGCATTTTAGGTATACAATACATTTACATTTATCCTTGGGTGCTTGTACTTGTACGTGATGTATCTTGGTTCTTATTTTTTCCCCATTCCCTGTGCTCCCTTCACCCCCTCCACCCTTCCCTATTTATATAGATTTCATTTCCACTTTTTTTCTTTTCTCATAATTTTTTCTTTCCCTTCTTTCCTTTCCCCTTCCCCTCCCACCGCCCCTACACCTTTGGACCTTTTAATATTTCAAATTATCAATTATTTGTTTCACTCATTTAATCCTTATTTACACTTTCAGTTTCTCACACTAGAGAAACTATTCGGTATTTACACATGTGTGTCCTATTTATTTCACTTAAGAGTATGGCCTCAATATGCATCCATTTAGCTATAAATGTCTCTAGTTTCTGGTTCTTTATGGCTGAGTAGTACTCCATTTTATTTTTTTAAAAACACATCTTCTGTATCCAGTTTCCAGTTGATGGACACTTGGCCTATTTCCAAGCTTTAGCTATTACAAACTGGGACACAGGAATTCTGATGTGTCATTCAAGCATGGGTCTTTCAAAACATTTATTTTTGCCCTAACTCACCGTAGCCACTCACAGTGATGTGATGGCAAGGAGAGTACCAGGCTTTCACATTGCCTTCAGACCTTCAGCCCCTGGGTAATTTCCTCACTTGATTAGGGACTCCCTTTGTATACTTATTTGTTTATGTATCTTCTTTGACATGACAACAGTTTCTGCACTGAATTCCCAGCACCCTAGCAGCAAGCTTAACACTTATAATGATGACAGCATAATATTAAATTGTGACTAACATTTATTCAGTTCTATTTGCTGCTTTGTATAGAGTATTGCATTGGTACAATTCTGTGAGAAAAATACTGTTACAATCTATGTTTTAAGAAGGTGGAATCACGTTAAGCAATTTTCGATAACCAGTCATTGGCAGACCTGGTTCTGGTCCCAGGGCTCTGGGCTCCAACCCATGACCCCTCCCTTGCGCTTCTCTGCTCCCTGGCTTCATCATAAAATCATTTAATCACAGGATCATAGTGTGTTTATTGATGATGGGAGATGTACAGAAATTAATAAGAAAATCTTAAATATTGATTCATTTTCTATAATGATTATTCAGATTTAAATTTTTCTAAAATTTTTAAATTTTATCTGAGTTTGTAAATGTGTTGAAATAAAATTATCTCAAATATGTTCTTATGGTTTAAAAATGCTGAAAGACAGATAAAATTTAAATACACATTACTAAGTGAAAGAAAGAAAGCTGAAAAGGTACATATGGCATAATTTCAACTATATTACATCTGGAAAAGGCAAAACGGTCAGTGAAAAAGGTCAGTGGTTCCTAGGGGCATGGGGGAGGAAGGAGTGAATTACATAGAACTCAGAGGATTTTTAAGATAGTGAAATTATTCTGCACAATACTGCCATGATGAATACATGTCATTTTACTTTTATCAAAACCCATAGAACTGTGTAAGACAAAGGCTGAACCCTAATGTAAAATACAGACTTTGCTGTTAATGATGTGTCGATCAATGTAGGTTCATTGACTGTAACAAGAGTATCACTTGTGGTGTAGGATGCCAGCAGTGGGGCAGGTTGAGCTCGTGTGGGAATAGAGTATTATATCAGAAGTCTCTGGACTCTTTCTTCAATTTTCCTGTGAATCTAAAACTACTGTAAAAAAGAAGTGAATTGTTTCAAAAGTTCATATACGAATTTTTACTCTTCATCTTTTTTTTCTTTCTTTACAATTATTTCATTCTTTTTCAGGCACCATCATTTGAACTAACATATATTTTCAATTTTAGCCAAGTAGTACATTCAAAGTTTATAAATATTTCTATATATAAAACACACACATTACGCAATGCAACATCACACATTTTTATTTGTGATATTATCTTTATTGTTGTTATAAATATGAAATCTGTTATAATTTTTCTCTTTAATATATGAATTAAATATTGATATATATTTTAATTCTTAACATTTTCTCTTCTATAGGTTTTAACTACATGACAGTTAGAGCACGTCGTTTGTAAGACATATACTCTGAATTTGGT